TACATGTTAGCACTTATCACACACGTTTGTCCTAATGCTTTAGAACGATTTAACTTCTCACCTGAGCATGACCTTTGAGAGCAGAACTATGTCTTATTCATCCCTGTATCCCCAACGCCTAGCATTTGGTAAGTACCCAAATAACTATGTGTAGAATAAATAATGAAAAGTTAGCTTAGATTAACTACTACTTTTTATCAATCAGAACCTTCCTGACTCAAACTTTAACTCAACAGAGACAAAACAAACGTTACTCATGTAAGATACCTTCTGGAGATCGTTCCTCATCAAAAATAATTGACTGGAGGCAAGCCAAGTCAGGATTCTCCTTGGGATCGATTTCTGATGGTGCTTTCTTCATAAATAGGGGGATCTTTTCAAATTCCTGGAGATTAAGAGAAGAATGAACTACATGAATAAGATCTTCTACTGAGTAGATCCAATTCCATAACTCATCATCAAAGTTTTCTTTCCCATCCCGATTTGCCTATCATCGTGATTGGCTGTATCTATCCAGGCCGCAGTTTTCCTTCTGTAAAATGATCTCTAATGATTCCTTCAGTTCTCACTTTCTACAAAAGCGGAAGAAATTACCATGAATTGAGCGTTCTTATGTTCCTGGCACGTTACCCATCATTTCATTTCATCTTTGCCACAACCCTTCGAGATTGATGCTATGTTAGGGCAATTTTACAGGTGAGGAAACGGGCTCCGAGAAGTAACCGCGTCCAAAAGTGGTGGAGTCACAGGTCTGACTCCAAAACCTGGACTCTTCAATGTACCGACAGCTTAAGAAGACCCTCAAAACCTCGAGGCCGATTTTTCATACTAAAATAGATCCCTGGCAGCCAGGGGTCTTGGGGTGAAGGAAGCGCCCCCGAGTCTGGGAGCTGCAGGAAACCGGACGACGCCCCTACAACAAGCGGAGCCCCGGGGACCGCCCACCTCCTCCCACTGGTCCTCGTGGAAGCCGCCGCGGTAAGGCTGGCTCTGAAACTTTTCCAGGAACGAGTCCATGGCGTCGTCTGAGGCGGCGTCCGGCTCCGGCTGCTCCATGACAGATCCCCGACACTCCCGCCCGGGTCCGACGCCGTGAAGCGCGCAGCT